GGAAGAGCACTGAAATGGGAGGCAGGTTCAAGTCTCTGTCTTGTCTCTTAAAGAGTGAGCTGGGGGAGCAAGACACTCAGACTTTTAAACCTGAGCCTCTTCATAGTGTTGCGTTGGTTGCAAAAGGCAAGTGGCTGGACTACATGAATTCTACATTTCTGTAAAGCACAGGGTTCCCTGGTATGCAGAAATACCACTAGGAGTCTTAGAAAAAAATTTATTTCAGTTCATTTTAATCCATTTCATCTGAGAACAGCTGCCAGGCCTTTGTTAAACCCAAAAGGAGGTACAATTAAGTTTATGTCAAAGCTCTCACCCTCATGGTAACAATGAAACCTAGGTTGGACTCAAAGTAATGAAAGAATAATAAGATAGAATCAAATTGATTAAAAAAAATTTTTTTTAACAATTCTTTTTTTTGGGGGGGGCAGAAGGTTTTGCTGTAGGGCACGTACACTCACCAGAAAGACAGAGATAGAAAGCGAGAAATCACCCCCCAGGAGGATGGTCACGCTGCAGTCCCTTCTCCTCCATTCTTCTCTTGGGATCTTGGGTACATGTGCACATGCATCTGGCGTGAGTTTAAGCCACCGGGTCCAGGACTCAAACCGCAGTAGACTACATGGGAATCCAGTAACATAGCTGTTATACCAACTGCTAGTCCCAAATCAAATTGATTTCTAAAGTCCATCACTCTAGAGCTTCTCAAAATGGAATCTAAAGGCAGATTTTCTGGAGGATTTGAATCCTAGTAGCATTTTTATTTTTTAATTTTATATTTTTGTTTTGATGATAGAAACTATTTCAAGCTTAAAAATGTGATGTTATTTTCTAATGAACATTCTCAACTGCAAAACATTTACATAGAATAAGCACAGCCAAGCACCACATAATGATATTTCTGGCAGCAATGGACTGCATATACGATGGTAGCCCCAGAGGAGCATCTAGGTTATACCATACGGCCTACGTGTGCGGTAGGCTACACCATCTAGGTTTGTGTAAACGTGCTCTGTGATGTTCGCACAGTGATGAAATTGCCTAATGATGCATTCCACAGAATATATCCCAGTCATTAAGTGACATGTGACAGCATTCGGGTTAAGTCAGTGTTTCTAAAATTGAGTCCTTGAGTGTGTTGAGCAAGATCTAAGAGATTTTATTTTTTCTTTAAAAAAGGAGTTCAAGATCCTGAGAGGAGAATGGAGGAGAAGGGATTGCGGCGTGACCATCCCTCCTGGGGGGTGATTTCTCGCTTTCTGTCTCTATGTCTCTCTCTGTCTGTCTGGCAAACGCATGTGCCCTATAGTGAAAAACCTCTCAAAAATAAATAAATAAATAAATAAAGGAGTTCATGCCTTTCTGTCTTTAACAATCACCCAATGTATCAGTTGTCTTTTGCTGCGTAACAAACTACTCGGAAACTTAGTGACTTAAAAAAAAAATAACCATTTATCTCCCAATTTTGTGGGTTGGCAGTTTGGGCTAAGATTAGATGAAGTGTTCACCTGTTTTCAGCTGGTCTCACTCTTGAGTGTCTCTGGTCACCTGCTGGATCTCCTAGCATGGGCAGATCTAGCATGGGCTCATGCTGGGATGGCTCTGTTTTATCTTCCATCTTCTAGCATGTCAGGTGCTCTTATTCTCAGGAGGAGGCAGGTCTCCTAGAGAGTAAGTGAATGCGTGCAAGGTCTCTTGATAGACAGGCTTAGAACTTGCACACTCTCATTCCTTTTATGTTCTGTTGATGAAAGCAAGTCAGAAGCCAGTTCAGAGTCAAGGGCTGGGAAAACATAATAGCCCTCCCTCATATCCCTTTCCTACAATTCTGCAAGGAAGTGAAGATAGAGAAGGAAATCATTGAAGCCAGTTTTATAATTGCTAACAATCAGCTAATGTGTATAGATCAGTGTTTTATTTTTTTTGTTTGTTTTGTTTTTGTTTGCTAGAAGGCATGTGCACTTGCCAGAGAGGAGATAGCACGCGCACACATACA